GAGTACAGAACTAAACAGAGAATTCTCAATAGAGGAATCTAAAATGGCTGAAAGACACTTAAGAAAGTGCACAAATTTCTTAGCCATCAGGGAAATGCAAGTCAAAACAACTCCGAGATATCATCTTACACCTGTCAGAATGGCTAAAATCAAAAACAACAATGAAAGTTTATGCTGGAGAGGATGTGGAGAAAGGGGAACACTCCTCCATTGCTGGTGGGAGTATCAACTTGTACAGCCACTTTGGAAATCAGTATGGCAGTTTCTTTGGAAAATGGGAACAAGTCAACCTCAAGATCCAGCAATTCCACTCTTAGGCATATACCCAAAGGATGCACATTTATACAACAAGGACATCTGTTCAACTATGTTCATAGCAGCTTTATTTGTAGTAGCCAGATCCTGGAAGCAATCTAGATGCCCCTCAACCGAAGAATGGATACAGATAATGTGGTACATTTACTCAGTGGCAAAAAAATGGAATCTTGAAATTTGTAGGCAAATGGATGAAACTAGAAGAAACCATCCTAAGTGAGGTAACTCAGTCACAGAAAGACAAACATGGTATGTACTCACTCATATATGGATTCTGGACATAGTTAAAAGGAGTACCAACCTACAATCCACACCTCCAGAAAAGCTAGGAAACAAGGAGGACCATAAGAGAGACATACACAGTCCCCCAGTGAAGCAGAAAGGGACAAGAACCTCTGAACAAATGGGGAGTATGGGGGGAGATGAGGGGAGGTAGGAGAAAGAGGGGGGAAGAAAAAGAGGGGGGAGGCGAACATGAGGGATCAGGTAGATTGAGTGGGGAGAGGAATAGAGGAGAACAAGGAAAGAGACACATCAATAGAGGAGCCACTATGGGTTTAAAGAGAAATCTGGCACTAGGGAATTGTACAGAGATCCACAAGGATGACCCCAACTAGGACCCTAAGCAATAGTGGAGAGGCTACTTTAAATGTCCTTCCCCTATAATGAGAATGGTGACTTAAATACCATCCTAGAACCTTCATCCAGTACCTGATAGAAGCAGAAGCAGACAACTGAGCTGAACACTGAGCCAAATTCCTGGAATTCAGTTCCAGAGAGGGAGGAGTGATGAACAAAGGTGTCAAGACCACGCTGGAAAAACCCACAGAAACACCTGACCTGAGCAAGTGAGAACTCATGGACCCCAGACTGACAGCTGGGGAACCAACATAGGACCAAACCAGGCCCCCTAAATGTGGGTGTCAGCTAGGAGCACTGGGCAGTCTATGGGGCCTCTGGCAGTGGAACCAGGATGTATCCCTAGTGCATGAACAGACTTCGGGAGCCCATTTCCCATGGAGGGATACTCTCTCAGCCTGGATACACAGGGGAGGGCCTAGGTCCTGCCCCAAATGATTTGACAGATTTTAATGATTCCTCAAGGAAGACTTCACCCTCCCTGGGGAGTGGATGGGGGATGGAATGGGGGGGTTCCTTGAGTGGTATGGGAGGATGGGAGGGAGAGGGAACTGGGATTGATATGTAAAATAAGATTGTTTCTAATTTAAATAGAATTTATATAAGAATTTCACATTTACTTATTTTCTCTATTTTATGTGTGTATGTGCATGTAAGTATATGAAGGTCAAAGTTAGTTCTTTCCTTCCACTATGTGGGTCTTGGTGGTCAAAGTCAGGTGATTGGGCTTGACAGCAAGCATCTCTACCCACCGAACTAACTCAGTGACCCTCACCCAAGAAATGGACATGGGATCCCAGGTGTATAGGTATATACATAGCTGTGTATAAGTCAAACATCAACTGATGATAAACCACTAAGACATTCAGTTTAAAACAGTTCTTTGATACATATATGTAACGTGCATTCTTCCTGCCAGCCTGCTTCCTGAGCTGCGTCAATCCCAAATGAACTCGCAGGATACTATACTATTTATGAAACTGCTGACCATTTGCCATGGTTTCTTAATGGCTAGCTCTGATTTAATTATTAACCCATAATTACTAATATATATTTTTATAAGGTCTTATCTTACCAAGAACACCAGACTTGGGTCCTCTCCTCCTGGGATCGCATACTCTTGACTACATTTCCCAGAATCCTCCTCGACTTCTAGTCCCACCTATCTTGCTTTCCTGTTGGCCAGTAGTGCTTTATTTATCAACCTAAAGGACAAATGTATACACAGAAAGACTTCCCCCATCATGAAGTTACCCCTGCCTTCCCTCCAGTATCATCTCCTCCATCCTTTGCACTTCTGCCTCCAGCTCTGCCAGTCACACGCTCTCCCTCACTCCGTCTTTGCATCTGAGCCTCCTCTGAGCCTCCTCTCCCAACACCCCACTGTCTTGGCTGCCTATTCACTCTTCAGGCCTCGGGCTCCAGCCGGAACATCACTGCCTAAGAGAAATCCTTCTTGACTTGGGTGTGGCCACTTTAAGGTCTAAGTCTGTTCTGTGGCTACATAAACCAGGCTCACCCAAAACTGGCCTTTGAGACCTTACAAACACAGCTGGGCACTCCATGGTCCTTTTATTAAAGACATCACTAGGAATGACTTGGGATGCGGCTCTCTCAGGCAGGCACAGTCAGACCTTTATAGCTGTACATCAAAGATGCCCATCCCTGGTCCAAGGTTTATGGCTGGGATGTTTAGGGAGACATCCTCCCTGTCACTGGGATTGTCTGTCGTCCAGTTCACAGGGAGGTGAGGGCTTCTGGGTAAACTGAAGGCACACTGGGCCCGGGGGGTCAGCAGTGCACATACACTTAACATCCCTCTTGTCCTCTGTGGTGTCATACTTAGTTTGTAATAATCACATCTGTCACCCCAGGCTTTACCTTCTGTGAAGTCTCCTTACAAGGAGCTTTCCTTAACCCTTAAGGCTTGAAGTATCTCCCCTTGCCACACTATGAGGCACACACCATTGTCAGCCCATGTCATAGGTGAAGAAACTGAAGCCATCTGGCTGGTACTGGTGGCCTGGCACTTCCTACAGCCATACAAAGTCCCTCCCCTCTACCCATAAACCTTTGCTAAGCAACTGTCTATTGACATTGGGACAAAGTCCAGATCACTTATGGGGGTTCTGAAGCTGCTTTACGATCAAGTATAAGTGTCTCAGCCCACCCCTGCTACTCAGTTCCCTGAGAGCTTTGCCCATACAAAGTCCCCATTCACCTTGCCCATACAATATCCTTTCTGCCTAACACAACTGGTGAACTCGGATGCAGTCTCTTTTCCCTTCCCTTTGGATGTTGCTGGGGATGAAACCCAGGTCTCACACATGTGTAAAGAGAAGCTTTTTCCTGAGAGAAGCCTTCCCGCCAGCCTGGTTCTAGAGCTGCATCAGTCCCAAATAAACACACAGGAGGCTGTATTAATTATGAAGCTGTTGGCCTTGCTTGTTTCTTACTGGCTAGCTCTAACTTAAGTAATTACCCCATAATTGTTAATCTAAGTATGTCTCTTACCGGAGAAGTTTCCGGGCTTCCTACCCCAAGGCGTTACATCTCGACTCTCTGTGTTTCTCCTTCCCAGAGTCCTCCTGGATTCCTAGTCCCACCTATCTAGATTCCTATTGGCCAGCAGTGCTTTATTGACAAATGCACAGGACTTCCCCCCAACACACATGCTACGCAAGTGCTCTACTATTGTTTGTACCCTCCGTTCTCCTTAAAAAATCTTTTAAAATTATGTACATCAGCCGGGCGTTGGTGGCGCACGCCTTTAATCCCAGCACTTGGGAGGCAGAGGCAGGCGGATCTCTGTGAGTTCGAGGCCAGCCTGGTCTACAAGAGCTAGTTCCAGGACAGCCTCCAAAGCCACAGAGAAACCCTGTCTCGAAAAACCAAAAAAAAAAAAATTATGTACATCAGCTGGGTGGTGGTGGCTCGTGCCTTTAATCCCAGCACTGGGGAAACAGAGACAGGTGGATCTGTGTGAGTTCAAGGCCAGTCTAGTCTACAAAGCTACACAGAGAAACCCTGTCTCGACAAATAAAAAATAAAATTATGTACATATTTGTGTGTGCCTGGTCTTTATGGGCACCTGCATACATATACAAACCTATACACAGACACGGGTCATTGGTGACTGAACTCAGGCCCTTTGAAAGAGCAGACTGTGCTCCTAACCACTAAGCCATCTCTCCAACCCTCTCACCTCCCTTTTCTAACTTTCTGTAACAGGGTTTCACTGTGTTGTCCAGACCAGTACTGAACTTTTTATTCCAGAATGTCCTTGAACTTTTGATCTTCCTGCCTCAGCTTCCCAAGTAACTGGGATCACAGCCCTGTGGCCAAGGGCCCCAGCCTCTAGTCCATTCTTCAGCATCCAGAGAAACCGGTTAAATCGCCTTTGATTGGAGGACCCCAGTGCATACGTATGCACATGCACACGGGCCCTTTCATGCTGCCGGGCGTTACATGTCTACACTGTTATTTAGACTCTGAACTTCCTGAGACCAGGTGCCAAATCTCATCGACCTTTGTGCACCCATCCCTCACCACAACGCCCAGCACAAAGAAGTCTCAAGAAATGTCTGCTGATGAATGATCTGATAGAAAGAACAAAGACTGGAGGTATAACAGCAGGAGAGAGAGAGCCGGGGCCAGAAGAGAGGTCCCTGTGTTGGAAAGACATAACATAACACCCTGTGCCTGAGCTAACATGTAGCTCAGGCTGGCCTCAAACTTTCTAAGTAATCCAGATTGGCTTCGAGCTTGGATTTTTATATATGTGAATGTATATATAAAGCAAAATATTTTTTTGAGATAGTGTCTCACTGTGTAACTCTGGCTAACTTGGACTTACCATGTAGCTCAGGCTGGCCTGGAACTCTGCCTCTGCCTCCCAAATGATGGTATTAAAAGCATGTACCACCATATCTGATCTCTCTCTCTCTCTCTCTCTCTCTCTCTCTCTGTCTGTCTCTGTCTCCCCCCATCTCTATCTCTCTCCCCCTCCCTCCCTCCCTTCCTTTCTTTCTTTGTGTGTATTGCAGGGGATATGTGGAGTTATGCCAAGTGCACATGTAGAAGCCAGTGGATAAACTGAGGGAGTTGGTTCTTTCCTTCCACCATGTGGGCTCCAAAGATTGAATTTAGATCACCATGTTTGGGAGGTAGGCACTTTTACCCAATAAGCCATCTTCTTGGCCCCTGGTCTTGAACTTTAGAGTTTCCTGCCTCATCCTCCAAAGTGTTAGGATAAAGGCTTGCTTTTTTTCTCTCTTTGACAGGGTTTTATGTAGGCTTGGTTTGGCGGGAACTCTTTGTTGCTGAGACTGACACTGAACTTCTGTCAACTCTCTTGCCTCTGTGTCCTGAGTGAGTGCTGGGATTATAGGCGTGTGTAACCACTCATGGCTGGTGTGTATGGTATTGGTGAGTGAACCCAGGGCTTCATGTATTACTGACTAAAGAGCATCTCCAGGCTCTCCTTTCTTTAGCAAATGCATAGTAAGCAACTTGGCGCTCCTGTGCTTTGCTCGGTGTGCTCGGTGCACAGACCACGCATCATGTGTTCTTGGAAATATTCCCTGTCCTTCTTCTAAGAATCAAACACTCCCTGCTCCGAGTTCTCGGTGTCCTTAATATTATTGTTTAAATGTGTACACCTACTTCATGTCCAGTCACTTGGCTATGGACCTTGTGACTGTATTTTACTCACCTTTGTCCCTGGTACTTGTACTCAGAAGAGGACTGATAACTGACGGCCAATTGAGTGTGTTAATGAGCAGTGGATGGGTGGTCAGCAGTGACTTGAACATAGGTAATGATGAAAACCCACCGCTCCCCACAGTCTACAGAGTCCTGCCTGACCACAGTCTACAGAGTCCTGCCTGAGTGAGTACTTGTCCATTCTTGCTGGGTCTGGCCCTTTAGGTCATCCCTTCTTTATCCCATTCCCTATTTTATTCAGTTCAAACTATTTCTCATGGATGCCATTTGGTACATTCATTTGTTTATGCACTGTTGGCTTGCTTCTTTCATTTTTTTTAAATTAAAAAGCGTTGGGTGAGGATAATGTCATGATGCATATGTGAGAGTCATAGGGTAACTGTGGAACTGGATCTCTCCTCTACCTTTACATGCTGCAGTGATTTCTTAAAAACGGCCCCCAAAGAGAGTAGCACTATTAGGTCTGGCCTTGTTGGAGTGAGTATGACTTTTCTGGAGGAAGTGTGTCCGTGTGAGGTGGGCGCTGAGGTGTCATATGCTCAAGCTACACCCAGTGTCACAGTTCACTTCCTTTCTCTGAGGATCAAGATGTAGAACTCAGCTCCTTCTCCGGCACCATGTCTGCCTGCGTGCTCCCATGTCCTGCCATGAAAATAGTGGACTAAACCTCTGAAAATGTAATCCACCCAAATTAAATGTTTCCCTTTATAAAAGCTTCTGTGGAACCGGGCGGTGGCAACGCACACCTTTACCCACTGAGCAATCTTTCCAGCTTCTTGCCTCTTCTTCCTAAAATATAAAGTTCAGGAGAGTTTCAGATATAAAGAATCTTTAGCTGTATTAGTCTCCTAGCTCAAAGTCAATGAATGAGTGAAGGAGTTCAGCTTCAATGTGCCCCCAGCTGCCTGCCACTAAAATGAAGACCCGAGACCCCCATCTTCCCATTGTATTCAACAACTAGGGGGAGAAGCCTGCAGAATAAGGCATGAGGTGTTTTTGCGTCTAGACCTTTCCATTCTTGGTACACATATACATATGAAACTGCATGAATTGACCCTTCAGGTGGCCAGACTGCACTTGGTATGGGAGCAGAGAGGACCTCTGGGTCCAACTCCCAGCTCGCCCAACTCCTGCTCACACCAAACCTGGATCAGAGCTGGAACGTCTAGCTATGCGCAGGTGAGACATTCCTTCCAGCATTTGGAGTCAGGATGGGTGTTACTCCAGGGCAGGAGTGTCTACATTGAGGCTATTTAACTGCTGGTTGACAGGCAGCTAGGAAGCCAAGGGGCCAAAGGCAAGGTGCGGTACAGAAGGGAGTGGGCAGTCATGCGTGGGCTAGAGAGGGGCTATCCTCGCTACCCTCCCCAGCCGGAGCAGGGCGTGTGCAGCCCTTGTTTTTCTCTGGGGAGCACGTGAGAACTCTACACGGGCAAGGTGCAGAAGTCATCCCTGGTTTCTCAGCACAGAAAGCTAAGAACAAAACAAGAGCTGGGCCTGGGCGTTGGTGGCGCACACCGTTAATCCCAGCACTCGGGAGGCAGAGGCAAGCGGATCTCTGTGAGTTCGAGGCCAGCCTGGTCTACAGAGCCAGTTCCAGGACAGGCTCCAAAACTACAGAGAAACCCTGTCTCGAAAAAACAAAAACAAAAAAACCAAAAAACAAAACCAAACAAACAAAACACACACACACACACACACACACACACACACACACACACACAAAACAAGGGCTGGGCAGTGTGGTACATTCCTTTAATCCCAGTACTTGGGAGGCGCAGTGAGGCAGATTGGGGCCAGCCTGGTCTACAGAGAGAGTTCCAGGACAGTCTGACTACACAGTGAAACTCTGTCTCAAAACAAAACAAAACAAAGCCACCACCACCACCACTAATAATAATAATAATAAAAACATTTACCTCCAACACACATATCCTTTGATGTGATGTTTTTCCTTTTAGGAATGTGCTCTACAGTTAAGAACACTAGTGTAATAATAGATCCATTCAGCAGATTCAGCAGCTGGTTCCTTTAGTTGATTGTGAGAAATGATCTGTTGAAATCTAGTGAGTTCCAGGAAGAGAATGGGGCTCTGAGACAGCATCACAGATGTGGCCCCTATCATTCCCCTAGAAACTGCAGAATCAGTAGGGAGAACTATTGTGAGTAGCCATTTATGGAAATCCTTAGTATTTAAGTATTTTAAGTGAAGAACATTTGGGGTGAAGGGGACAAGGGTCAAATATCTTTGCAGTTGGGGGCTGGAGAGATGGCTCTATGATTAAGAGCATTTACTGCTCTTGTGGGGGACTCTGGTTTGTTCCCAGCACTCACAGGTCAGCTAACTCCAGTTCCAGAGGATCAGACCCCTCTTCTGGCCTCCACAGGCACTACAATTATGTTGTGCACAAACACACATACATGTAAAACATCATAAACATAAAATAAAAGAAATAAACCTCAAGGGAAAAAATCCTTCTAATGGTATTTGTTGACAAGGAAAATTAGGCAGTGTCTCAAATAGTCACCCAAAAAGGAATGGTGAGAATTGTTTCTATCCATAGAAAGGGCTAGTGCGTGCCTATTGAAAACAATGGGGCAAGGCTGGGGATACATGTGTAGCCTGGATCCTCAGTTCTTCCAAAAGCAAAAGCCAAACAGTGAAAGGCCTAGGAACTTGTGAAGATGGAGTTGGTAAAGCACCGGCTTCACAATCCTGAGGCCCTGAGTCTGGATCCTCAGTACCCATGTAAAAAGCTGGGCGTGGTGAAATGCACCTGTAATCCCGGGCTGGGGAGGCAGAGACAGGAGGACCCCTAGGGCTTGCTGGCCATCCAGTCTAGTAAATTTGGTGAACTTGGGTTCAGTGAGAAGTCCTGTCTTGAAAAACGAAGCAGAGAGTGATTGAGAACACCCCAAGTCAACCTCTGGCCTTTCCATGCACCTGTATACACATGCATGAATACCCATCCCAATATGTAGGCGTACACACACATACACAAATAAATCCTCTTTAAATAAAAGAGGCGGGTTATGTAAACATTCTGTGAACAACACCCTCAATATAGCATTAGATTCAAAAAGTGTGTTGTGTATTTGAATACTAACAAACATTATGATTTTTCTGTGCATTATTAATATTTTCATAGCAAAAGACTGGGAGAATATGTCCCATATTGTTAGCAGCTGTTATTTTTGGGGAGGGCAATACCTGTGACTTTTATTTTTTAAACATTCCAATAACATTAGAATGGTTAAAAATAGACATGTATTACCTTGCTAAAGAGAAAAAAATAAAGGTATTGGGAAACATGCTGATTTATTTCTTCTGGTGCTAGGTAGAGGCGGCATTGAACAAGGTCTCCACCACCGAGTCAAGTCCTCAGCCCCATGAGCTCGGCTAAAGCTACTGCTGTTCTCGCCTTATGTACACGCACAGAGCGTGCCCTCTGGGAGTGCATGGCACGGTGTGCATGTGGACGTCGGTGCGTAACTTTGTGGAGTCTGTCCTCTCCATTCACCTTTGCTTGGGTTCTGAGGGATGAAACGCAGCTTGGCAAGAGATTTTTAGCTGTTGAGCCATCTGGCTGGCACCGTAAGACCCTATTATGAAATGGCTATCACTAGTAAAGACTATCTTAGAGTAGGGTCTGTCTTCCTCCCTTCCTCTCTCCCTCATTCCCCTGCTGTCTCTCCTTTCATTTCATATAGCTCAGGGCAGCTTTGAGCTTATGATGTAGCCATGGATGGCCTTGAACTTCTGATTCTTTTGACTTCTTAACTGCTGGGGACTTGAGGTCCCCCTCCTCCACTTCCTCATCCCCCTCCTCTTTCTCATCCCCCTCCTCTTCCTCGCCCTCCTCCTTCTTGTCTGCCTTCTAGTTCTCCTCCTCCTTGTCCTCTTCCTGTTGTGGGAATTCATTCCATCAATAGACTTGGGGTACCAACCTTAGGGAATGGCTTCTTGTCTTCGGACATGACCTCTTATAAGGAAAAGAGCTCTCTCTCTCTCTCTCTCTCTCTCTCTCTCTCTCTCTCTCTCTCTCTCTCTCTCTCTCTCTCTCTCTCGGGACGTCAGAGCAGAATCAAGTTTTATGGTTGTTCACATCTCCCCTGGGCACAGCAGCTGGATCCACGGTGGCTTCCGCCTTGTCCTGTATTGGTGAGTCTGTGTTTCCCATTGAATCCCCCATAATAGACTTTTGTAAATTCTCGAATCATCCTCCTTCCCCTCCTCCTCCTTCTGGTCCTCTTCCTCCCCCATTTCCTTGTCCTCCTCCTTGTTCTCTTCCTCCTCTTCCTTCTTTTTGGTTTTTGAGATAGAGTTTCTTTCTCTGTGTATTGCTGGCTGTCCTGGAACTTGCTCTGTAGACCATGCTGGGTCACAGAGACCTGCCTTCCTCCAGAGTGCTGGGACTGAAGGTGTGAACCACCACAAAAAAAATCACAGTAAGGCAAAGATGGAGAGGCTTGTAAATGTCAGCATGGTACACTGTGAGGGTCAGTGCCTTGCCCTTCTCTTCAGCTGGTGATACGGTCAGGTCAGACGCTCTAGTCTCTGCCTCCAAGGACGTAGTACTTTTTCCCCCACAGGGCTGTTTGCTACTTTAGAATTCTTTTGGAAAGCAACTACTCACTGGTTCTAAATAGAGGGGATGCTTTTGCCAGACCTGGAAGCATCATATGGAGTTGTTGGAAGAGGAGAGATAATTTTGCTCTTGGCTCTTTTCTCAGAGACGTAAAATTTGCTTACATCATCTACCTAGGAAAATCCAGGAACATGTCTGCTTGCTGATAAGCTACAGTGACTTCTTGGTGCTTCCCTCAGCAGCCCTCTCTGGCCCAGAGATGGTATCAGGGGTTGTTGGCTGAGTAAATGAACGGCCTACTCTCCCACAGAGTTACTTCTTTCAGCATCTTCAGGTGTGAAGTTCCACTGAATAACTCACCGAACACAATCTACCTCTCACTCCTCAAATAGACTTGGTAGGCTTGATTGTGAAGTGCCGAAAGGCATGCTTCACAGCTAATGCTCTGCTGAGGGGACTCAGTGAGGTTGGCTCAAGCTACACATCAGTTACCATAGTTGAGGCACTGCTCACGGCTGTGGTTTGAAGGACGGGGCGGAAAGTGGAAGCTGGAGCAGGTCATGGCCTCAGAGTACAGAGAGAAGCATTAAGAGGGCACAGCTGGCCTTGACCCTCAGACGCTTTCCGAGACACGCTGAGTTCAAGGCATGCTGAATCCTCAGGACTAGAGTAGTGGGAAAGTCAGAGGCTAGGGCATCCAAGACAGGCTTCTGGAGCCCAAAGCAGTACGATAAACTCAGCTTGAGTCCAGAGTGGGTTGTGAGGCAGAGGAATGATGGTCGGTGTTGGTGTTGGGGAGAGTAGGACTATGACATGAACTAAAGTCATTTCATCCATGGCTGGAGTCTAGCCAGCCTCTACAGCTTAATATCTGCTCTATCACAAGCGGGCCAACAACAGTTGGAAGTAGTATAATTTAAATTGTGTTCTGTGGAAGCTGGGGGTGGCGTGGATCTATAGTGGGTCTCAGGATATTATCCAGGTGTCTTGGTTCAGTCCAAAACTGGAATTCCTGAGAGAAACTCAAATATCAAGGTGTCATAACAGCCTTGCTGCACACATACAAAGTGCTACTGCGAGCTTGTGTGTAACATGAAAAATAAAAGACAAATATTGGGGTTCAAGCTTCAAGCTGAAGATCAGAGAAGCAAAACAGCTGGCCACTAGCTCTTACCTCTACCTCCGATTGAAATGGCAGTCCTGGCTCTCACCAGGTCTCAGACCGCTGCCTCTGTTCAGTGTGGCTGGAGAATCAATCCTGAGATTGACCACTGAAGACCCTGCTCCTATGTTTTATACCTTCTAGTGCTGGGGTTAAAGGCATGAGCTCTGTTTCTCTTTTAGACTGATTCACTCTTGTGTAGCCATAGGTGGCCTTGAACTCAGAGAGATCCATCTGCCTCTGTCTCCTGAGTCCTGGGATTAGTGTGTGTGCCTGGATTCTATGGCTAACTAGTGTGGCTGCTTTGCTAGTTTGATCTCCAATGGCTCTAATAAGTCATAAACAATATACCACCACACTTGTGTGCCTACCAGACACTGTGGGAAGTCCTTTACCTACAGAGGCTCACACTTCCCCACAGCACAGTGGGGAGGCTCAGTCCCACTAGGGGTAATTTGCCCACCATCAGAAAGAGGGAGGATGCCTACCCAGGGTCACTAGAGTATATAAGGGTGAGGTTATCTTGGGGGAAACTTTCCAGGTCCCCAGGGTAAATACCAGAACCTGGTGTTGTATGTGAGGAAAGCAATACAGAGATGCAGTGACACGCCACACTTACATGGCCAGGAGGCAATGGTGCAGGGCAGGGCCCTGGAACCTGCTATGATTGGAAGCAGACGTGGAGGCCTTCCTAACCAGGACAACTGTTAGGCAGCATCTCAAAAGCTGAGTAGAAGGGCCCCTGGGAGTTACCATGATCCCCTAGACACATGGGTACCAGTACACACGGCTCTACTTCTGGCACACCCCCGATAGTGAAGTCAGGTCAGATACCTGACTACATTCAGGGCCCAGAACAGCCAGCTCTGGAAGTCTACATGGAAAAAGGAATGTGTGCCTCAGATGATTGGTTGGCTCTCATGGTCCTCAGAGAGAGGTATCCCTTATGGCCTCCCTGCCACTCCCTCCTGCTCCTATTTTAGCTTAAGGCTGTCAGGCTGGATTGGAAGTGCCTTGTGTGTCTCCCTTAGTAGGCGAGGAGCCTTCTGTCTCAGGCTGGACCTTGCCTGTCCCTCCTCTGCCTCTCTAAACTCAGGCAGGTCTTATACAGGGCAAGTCAGGGCTGGCCAGTGATGGCTGAGTGACTGGGTGAAAGATTAGAAGGAATCACAGATGTTCTCCATGTTGTCCCCGGCCTCTCCTTTCCAGACTGTACAGCTGGCATCAGGGGACTAGGCATGGAGATGCTCTAATGTCTCAGCAGCATGAGGACCAGGGAAGACGAATGGTTACCAGCCTGCCTCACCACATCCTCCAGGTTCCTGCCTGTCCTTGGCACCACAGGTGGGCTCCACACCCATCTCGAAGAAAGACTCAGCTGAGGAGGATTCTTAGGGCTGAGGGCTTAGAGGGTGTACGTGATTGAGCTGTGTGTGTGTGTGAGAGAGAGAGAGAGAGAGACAGACAGAGAGACAGAGACACAGAGACAGAGATACAGAGAGACAGACAAAGACAGACAGAGAGACAGACACAGAGAGAGACAGAGACAGAGAGAGATAGAAAGAGAGAGACAGAGACACAGACACAGAGACACAGACACAGAGGAGACAGAGACAGAGAGACACAGAGAGAGACAGAGACAGACAGAGAGACAGAGAGAGAGACAGAGAGAGAGAGAGAGAGACAGAGAGAGAGAGAGAGAGAGAGAGAGAGAGAGAGAGAGAGAGAGAGAGAGAGAGAGAGAGAGAGAGAGAGAATTATGTGGTGCTCTGCCCTCGCCCATCACTGCCCATGTCAGCCTGGCTTGGAGGGGCTTCACTGTGCGTCTCTGTTGTTAGACGAGGAGCCTCCAGTCTCAGGCTGGACCTTCTCGGCCTCACTCCTGCTTCCCTGACCCCAGGCAGTGCACAGGAAGAGCAGGAGTGAGGCATGGAAAGGCAATGTGTTTACACTAGGAATCCTTATTCTTTACGATCTGTGCATTTTGCTGTCTGCGTGTTGAACTGCAATGAAAACATCAAAGTCAGACCTTGTGGTACAGGCCTCACTAAGAAGCAAAAGCAGGAGAATGTAACATTCCAGGTCTGCCTTGAGCTATTAGAGTGAGTTCAAGGCCAACCTGGTCAACTTAGAAGCACATTATATCAAAGTAAGGTCTGGGGAGATGGCCTGCGGGGTGAAGAGCTTCATCTTCTAGCATGAGGACCTGAGTTTGAATGCCCAGCACCCGTGTAAATGTTGGGCCTCGTAGTGTACGTGCTTGTAACCCCAGTGCTGGAGAACTCTGATGGCCATCCAGTTCCGCTGCTTTTCAAGCATTGGGCTCAGTGGGTGACCAACCCTGAAAGTAAGGTGGAGAGCGACAGAGAAAGACACATTGATTCTCTGGACTCTGCACATGCTCATATGAGGGAGTGCTCCCCTGCCATATCCACACATGTGCATATAAAGTAGTAGCATATAATTAATAATAATAACAGTATTAGACTGGAAATGTAGCTCAGCAATAGAACAATGGTGTGCACGAGGACCCGGGCTCAACCCCCAGTGCTTAAAACCAAAAGTTCAGTTGAAAATGAAAGAAAATACTAATTTAAAAGTAAGAACTTGAATAAAAGTTTCTCCCCAAAACATACACAAAACTGAGCGGTAGTGGCGCACACCTTTAATTCCAGCATCTGGGAGGCAGAGGCAGGTGGATCTCTGTGAGTTTGAGGCCAGCCTGGTCTAAAGAGTGAGTTCTAGGACAGGCTCCAAAGCTACACAGAGAAACCCTGTCTCAAAAAACTGGAAAAAATACACAAAATACAGAAAACAACAAATTCTCTGTTGAGACTATGGAGAAATTGGTGGGGTGGTGGTATATTTTCAGTTTGGTGCCAACCTGGGCTATATAGTGAGACCTTGTCTCAAAAAATAAACTTGAATATGGCATTTGGTCTTTTCTATCTTTAATAAGCTAAATTTTTGACTATTTTATTTATTTAAATTAGAAACAAGCTTGCTTCAAATGTCAATCCCAGCTCCCTCTCTCTCCCCTCCTCCCCGGCAACCCCGCCAGTCCCCCAATCCCCCCCAATCCCCACTCTGCTCCCAAGGGAGAGTGAGGCCCTCCATGGGGGATGCCCAGAGTCTGTCATTTCATCCAGAGCAAGGCCTAGGCCCTCCCCCCTGTGTCCAGGCTGAGACAGCATCCCTCAATGTGAGATGGGCACCCAAAATCCATTTGTATGCCAGGGATAGATACTACTCAAGTTCCCATAGATTACCTAGGCCTCCTCACTGACACCCACATTCAGGGGGTCTGGATCAGTCCCATGCTGGCCTCTCAGCCATCAGTCTAGGGTCCAAGAGCTCCCCCCTTGTTCAGGTCAGCTGTCTCTGTGGGTTTCACCAGCCTGGTCTTGACCCCTTTGCTCATCACTCTTCCCTCTGTCACTGGGTTCCAGAATTCAATTCAGTGTTTAGTTGTGGGTGTCTGCCTCTGCTTCCATCAGTCACTGGATGGAGGTTCTAGGATGTCATAAAAGGTAGTTATCAATCTCATCATCAGGGAGGGCATTTAAGGTAGCCTCTCCACTATTGGTTAGATTGCCAGTTGGTGTCATCCTTGTAGATCTCTGGAAATCTCACTAGTGCCAGATCTCTTCTCAAACCTATAATGACTCCCTCTATTATGGTATCTCTCATCCTGCTCTCCTCTATTCTTCCCTCAACTCAACCTTCCTGCTCCCCCATGTCCTCCTCTGCCCTCCTCTTGTCTGCCTCTCTTTTTCCCAGCTCCCTCTCCCCTCCCACCATGCTCCCGTTCTGAGATCCTGTCCCATTCCGCTTCTCTTGGGTACCATGCATATCTCCCTTAGGGTCCTCCCTGTTTCCCAGCCTCTCTGGCCATGGGATTGTAGGCTGGCACTCCCCTGATTCATGTCTAAAATCCATATATTAGTGAGTACATTCCATGTTTGTCTTTTTGTGACTGGGTTACAACATTTTGAATTTTAAGAAACTCCTGTCTCAAGTTCCTGTCATAAGTACGTGTGTGTGTGTGTGTGTGTGTGTGTGTGTGTGTGTGTGTGTGTCTTTCTAGTTGGGTGGGAAGGTGAGGCTGGCGACAGTTCACCTCGACTCTCCAACTGGGTGTGGACGAGCTATGGGGACGAGGCAGGGCCGGGCGAGCTTCCCAGCTGGCTCAAGCAGGTCTGGAAGGAGAGTTGCATTATAGAGATGCAAGTGCTCAGTAGAGCAGCCAGAGGGGACCACCGCACCCAAGATAGGGAGTCAGGCAAACACCAGATCCCCTGTGGCCCCGCACACATGGCTGCGTTCCCAGTCTGTCTTGCAGGCGATGTAGCGCCCTGGGTTCCAGCGAGTGAAGTACTAGGTCAGATGACCAGTCTAGGGCGGCACAGGTGGGTGAGACGCTATTCCAAGCATATTGCTGAAGTCGGAGCGGTTCTGCCTGTAGCCTCCCCCAATCCACCCAGACCACACATGGAAATGAGACTGCTTTGGCACGGTTTGCCTGGCACCATTCAACTTCTAGAGAAATGTATCTGTAAGAATCGATCATCATGTCGTGGCAGGATACCAACGAGGAAGCAGGCAAGTGTGGCTCTGAGGAGTTGGTAAACACGCTTCTGTGGGTAATCTCCAACCACGATTTCCATCGCTGCCCCACGGCTTCTGGGACATGGTGAAGCTGGCCCAGCAGCCAGGCCTGGCCGAGGAAGGGCCGTGGCTCATCTGCTCTTAGTCCCCACTCCATGCAGACTGTCGCGCTCTCCGCACCCATGTGCAACCCAAACACACTGTTCACTTCTCAAGTTGGTTTCAGACTTTGCTCTTTTTATTCCTGTTTTTCATTTAGATTTTTTTTTGGCTGGTTCAAGTTCGAAAGGCATCAACATCGAGATCGAAGGCAGCAAGCGCAGCCTGCAAAAGAGCAGAGGGTGTGTGCTCGTTGCCGTTGGTTTGGGGAAGGCGAATCCACGCAGTGAGTCTATCAGCCATGCCCTTGGTTTAGAATCTGGTTTCCTCGTCTAACCCCCCAAGGAGTTGGTCTGGCTTTAATTTATAACGCTGCCTGGCCTTACTTCCAAAGCATCGGTTCTGTGTACCCTAATGTGTCGACTTTCAATCACTTATTACGTGCCTTTACTCACATATATGTAAAAACAGCACATAACATTGTTTTCAGTAATTTTCAAAACTTGTGGACACAATCTCATGCTCTTCTTTTTTCTTTTTTACACAAGTAAAAGGAAGCTGCTTCCTCTCACTGGTGTGATATTTTTCATGTACTTCCCATATTGTCTGCTGCCTTCCCCTGTGGTACTTTGGTTTGTTCCCAGGCCTTTGTTGTAGCAGAGATGCAGTGAGCATCTTTGTCCTTGGCTGCACAATCAAATGAACCAGGAGGAACTGGGCTTCCACTGTGGGTTCACTGTATGACTTTCAGCCTCTGACCCAGTATCCATTAGAAGGATGACTTTCAGCCTCTGACCCAGTATCCATTAGAAGGAGGAGGAAGAAGGAGGGGGAGGTGGTTTTGACGGCACGGACCTGCAAAACCAACTCTCAGGAGGGGGTAGCAAGAAGATGAAGTTGAGGCTACATGGTAAGTTTGAGGCTAGCCCAGACTTCATGAGACCCTGTCTCAAAAAGGGGGTGTGTCAGGGAAAACAGCATTTGTCTCATCACTAATAAGCAATACCTTGAAAGCCTCTATCTCTGCTATATCTTCAACCTGGTACAAAATAGGTGTTCAATAAGTACTCCTGAACCAAACTGATTGTCATAAAAACCTGAGATATTGCTAGGAAAGAGCCTTGGAAATGCTTGGTGTGCATATGGAAATATGAGTGCTCTTATTTATTGTTATCTAAATCAAGTTAACAATGTATAATAGCAATAGTCAACCATGTGTGAATGTGACAACACCAGGCCTTGAGTTTTTGTCTCTGTCTATCTCCAGGTCTTCTCCTTCTGGGGCCTGCTTTGGCATAGGGAAACATTTTCCAAAGATTAATGGAGAAGGTCTGATTTGGGGTTGGGAAATACGGCACCTGCCTGCCAGGCTGAGGTGGGGCAGCTTAATTGTCCCCTTTGAGTCAGGTGTCCAGGGGTCATTCACCATCCCAAAACCTTCTCTGGGCTACCTTGGCCTATAAAACCCAGGTAATGCTGTGCGCCTAGCTCACTTAGGTGTTGTGAAGATTAATTATGGCTTGTAAAGGGCTTTGAAGATGAAAAGTTCTTATTATGAAAATAAATGGCTTCAGACACAAGCTTTCTTCAAGCCTTCAGTGCCTTGGTGCCTTCTATCTGCTGTTCTGGACTTCCAAGGACCCGGGGTGAGTTCAGAGGTGAGGGTGGCTTCACTCCCACCCTCATGAGAAGCATGACACAGGCCCCTGTGACTCTTTGCTGCCAGTTCTAAATTTCAAACTCCTGATGGATTTCCTAACTAGGTGAGCTAAGTTGGTTCAAAACACATTAAACAGACTCAGCAATGGCATGGTGAAATATATTTCCAGTACTGAGCCTTTTGCTGTCAAATTTAATTATTCAAATTGGTTTTAAACAATTGGGCTATTCCCTTCCTTGCCTCTTACCAGATATAGAGGCATTTAAAGTGGAGGGCCATGAACCAAACAGGCACTGGTAGAAACTGTGATAGCTCAACCCTTCGTTAGTTTTGGGCCTCAATTTCCCAATCTGTCAACTGAGGATAATGATAACTCAGCAGGGTATGGTCTCTGCTTGATGTGTAAGGAATCTAAGCTGAGAGGGATGATATGGTCATACTTACCAATATGAAGGTGATGTGCCAGGTTGTGTGGGGCTGACGAGATGGTTAGTGGTAGATTCATCTGTGGAACAAGCCTGATGATTTGAGTTCAATCTCCAGAACCCATGTAAGGATGGAGGACAGAATCAACCCTACAAAATTGTCCTTTGACCTCTACATGTATGCTGTAGCAGAGTGCCCCCTCTCAAAACAACAACAACAAAAAACCCTGTGGTTGAATATTATTTTGAGGTGTGTGATTTTTTTTTTATGCTGCATTTGTTTAACCCTGTGAAGCTGTGGTTCTTCGCCTGCCTAAAACACCCGATGGTCTAATAAAGAGCTGCCAACAGCGAGGCAGGAGCAAGGATAGGCAGGGCCGGCAAGCAGAGAGGAGAAATAGGGAGAGGGGAGCATCAAGAGAACAAAGAAAGGAGGACATCAGGAGCCAGCCACCCAGACAGCCACAGAGTGAAAAGGAAAGTAAGATAGACAGAAGAAAGAAGGAAGGAAGGAAAGAAAGAAAGAAAGAAAGAAAGGAAGGAAGGAAGGAAGGAAGGAAGGAAGGAAGGAAGGAAGGAAGGAAGGAGGCCCAGAGGAAAAAGGTAGACAGGTTAAGATAGTAAAAGCTGGCTAAAACAAACCAAGCTAAGGCTGGGCATTCATAACCAAGAATAACCCTCTGCGTGTGATTTACTTGGGAACTGGGTGGCAGGCTCCCCAAAAGAGCCGAAGAGTAAAAAGAGTAATACATCAGACAACAGACCCTAAAACCCGGATCTGCGTGGCCCTATCACAGCTACCCACATATGGCCTCCAAAACCCGGATCTGCGTGGCCCTATCACAGCTACCCACATATGGCCTCCAAAACCCGGATCTGCGTGGCCCTATCACAGCTACCCACATATGGCCTCCAAAACCCGGATCTGCGTGGCCCTATCACAGCTACCCACATATGGCCTCCAAAACCCGGATCTGCGTGGCCCTATCACAGCTACCCACATATGGCCTCCAAAACCCGGATCTGCGTGGCCCTATCACAGCTACCCACATATGGCCTCCAAAACCCGGATCTGCGTGGCCCTATCACAGCTACCCACATATGGCCTCCAAAACCCGGATCTGCGTGGCCCTATCACAGCTACCCACATATGGCCTCCAAAACCCGGATCTGCGTGGCCCTATCACAGCTACCCACATATGGCCTCCAAAACCCGGATCTGCGTGGCCCTATCACAGCTACCCACATATGGCCTCTAAAACCCGGATCTGCGTGGCCCTATCACAGCTACCCACATATGGCCTCCAAAACCCGGATCTGCGTGGCCCTATCACAGCTACCCACATATGGCCTCCAAAACCCGGATCTGCGTGGCCCTATCACAGCTACCCACATATGGCCTCGCCTCTGAGTAGAAGCTGTTCTTGGTTTTTTGTTTTTTAGCATTTTATTTATTTTTGCTGTTGTTTTCTTCTTTTTAAACATGTGCATGTGTGTGAGCATGTATGTGTGAGTATCTGCATGTGTGTGAGCATGTGCACGTGTGTGAGATGTATGTGTGAACAAGACATTTGGTTGTCTTCCTTAATCACTCTCCGTGTCTTTATTTTTGATTTTTGTTTTTTGAGACAGGATCTACTTTTACCCAAACTGGCCTCAAACTTGATATCTAGCCAGAGATGACCATGGACTCCCATTTCCAAGTCACAGTGCTAGCATTAGGGTGAGTACCACTGTACCATCTATGGAGTGCTGGGACAGAAGCCAGGGCCCCATACACTCGAGACAGGTACTCTACCAAGTGAGCTACAGCTCCAACCTCTGTGTTCTATTCTACTTTATTTATTTTTCGAGATAGGGTCTTTGTGTAGCCCACATGTCCTGGGACTCACTATGTGGACAAGACGGGCCTTGAACTTACAGAGATCTGCCTGCCTCTCCCTCCCAAGTGCTGGAATGAAAGATGTGTGCTATCACATCTGGCCCCCATTTTTATTTTATATTTTGGTGCTGGGACTCAAGGGCTTATACACAATAATCACGTGCGGTAACACTGAGCTATCGCCCCAGTCTGGGAACTTGTTTTCTAGAATTAGAACCTAGAGCAAATTCCAGCTTGAGCACACAGAGGAAGTTGGTGCCCTGCGGGCTGTTTGTTCCTGTGCTCTGTATTACATTGCACATGCTGGCTTCTCACTGTTGTGCTGATGCTAATGCTTGCTTGTCCATGCGAGGACTGATAGCCAGAAGCAGGCCTTCTAATACTACATGATGGGACCAAAACACCTTGGTGGCTTCAAGATCTCCAGACCCTTGGGGACCTACTACAGCTGAAGGGGATTGGGGCTAAGCTCAGCAGCCTCACCTTCACTCCTATCAAGGTCAGCCTGGCTAAATCCTTCCTTTTTCCACACATCTTTCTGTCCTTTCAGCAAAGCATTTCTAGAGCGCCTATTATGCCTGGAACTAAGACTAATCTAAACGGCCCTGTTTGACATCCTTCACCCACCAGATGCGCCTTCCAGGCATCACCTCATTTAAACCACACACTGGTACTTTGAGGCAAACACTGATACCATCACCATGGATCTTCAGGGTGAAAACAAGTGGCCAGATACAGAGTGGAACCCAGATTCTTTGAATGCTATCACGTGTCCTTCCCTATGACAGCATACTGCTTCCTTGACAGCTATACAACAGCAAATTCATTCCTATTGTCTCCAGTCCAGTATACAGTACGTGCTCAATAAAGGTCGGCTGTTGAATACATAATTACTAGAAACTCTCTAATCTGTGTCCACGATGCCACAGTGTCTGCAATAGACTTTTAACTTATTCCTGTCTTTTGGGTTAGACACGGGAGGTTGGTTTTACCATCCCACTTCAAATAAAATTTGTAACAATAATTTGGGGCTACGGAAAGAATAAGATGTAAAAATCAGATAAGACTCCAAAGTAAACCCACGGCGCAGACACAGCACTCAACAGAGCCGCAGGGCAGAGATGTGTCTGTCTGGTTGGAAAAAAGTCAGATCTTACAAAGCACTGGAGCTTAAGCCAGGATCATATGCCCAGCACATGTTTCCTGAAAACAGCCACATCCCTTCCATGGCTGGTGTGAGGTTTCAGATAGTTCGATCATGAAAAAGCAAAGCAAGATGTGAGAGGCAGAGATGGAAGGAGAACAAAGCAGGCTGCTGGCCTTGTCACCACTTCCCTGGAGCACAGCCCCTTCCCAGAGCTCTCAACTTGCCAGTCTGACTCCATCTTAAACGGTGCAGCTTGTGGCTGGCAGCCATGCTGTAAATCGGCAGACCGGGTTCAAGTTCAGACTCAGCTGTTTCCAGTGTGTGACTTTAGGTAAATGTACTTGATCTCACGAAGTGTAAATAAGCCACAAGGCTTCTTCTTAAGCATCGTAGGAGGTAAGCATTTTAATCGAGCTTCCTTACTTCACTCCTATGCTGTGCTCCTGTGGTCACAAAGGGATTCTGACTGAGGGAGCAGAGCCATCTCGATCGTGGTCATTGTGGACAATAGGCAAGCAGAGTCTGCAAGTCCTCCAGGGACCGTAAGGACGGTTGCCTGCACGTGACCCTTGACACTGAACGTTCTTATTCATCTATGCTTGGAGAATTTCATACATGTATACAACGTGCCTTGATCATATCTACCCACACCCCAATCCTCCACCAACTTCTTCTAGAACCGCCTCCCCCTACACCGCATATCTTCTTTTTTTCTCTCTTTATAACCCATTGACACCGGCTAATGTTGCTTTTATCCATTGCATATCTATGACAAAGATATGTCACGCTGCCCGACTGTGTTCCTAGAAGAGTATTCAGAAGTATTTGTTAAATGGTATCTGTCATTCATTGAGAACTTAGCACATGTCAGGCATTGAGGGAATTTTTTTTCAGATATATCCCTTAATGCCCTCAGAAATCTCCTAAAGCAAAGATTGTACATGTGTGTGCATGTTCACGCGTAGACGGGTTAGCATGCTGTGTATGTATGTACATGTGTTTGGCCACACGTTAGCCTCAGATGTCCTTCTCCCGGCGCTAAACACCTTGTCTTTAAGACAATTAGACTGAGCTGGCCTCCCCAGCACTGCCTAGATCACTTTTCACTGTGGGTTCTGGGGGTCAAACATTCCTCTTCATGTTTGCGTAGTAAGCACTTTCCCCACCCAGCCCATGAAGCAGGGACTTGTACTATACTGAGAGATGCATTGCGACTTGTCTGGGGGATGAGAAAACGGTGGGGCCAGAGTTAGCTCTGAGCTGTATGCGTGCAGCGGGGTGAGAAAACGGTGGGGCCAGAGTTAGCTCTGAGCTGTGTGCTGCAGCGGGGCCGGCGTCAAATGCAACCGCTAGAAGGACTAGCATTGGCCGAGGCTCTCCTGCGTGTTGTCTCTTCACTAGCTCAGTTATGCACGAGGCGTCCTTTCCAAATACAGGGCAGAGGCTCCTTGGGGTCCACCACTTCCCAGGGTCTGCAGTAAAAGTGCCACTTGAGCTCAGGAATTTCCACGAGTTGGGGCTTGAAGATGGCTCAGAGGTTAAGAGCACTGGCTGCTCTTCCAGAGGTCCTGAGTTCAGTTCCCAGCAACCACATGGTGACTCACAACCATCTCTAATGGGATCTGGTGCCCTCTTCTGGTGTGCAGGGATGCATGCAGGCAGAACACTGTATACATAATAAATAAATAAATATTAAAAAATAAAGAATTCCCAGGTCTAAATTCTGTTTAGCACCCCTCTTTCCTTTCTTCCTTAATACTGTTGTCTCTCGTTACAGTCATAATGATGACCTCATGTAGTGGGAGGCAGAGAGTGTGTGAGTTTGGATGTTTGTGTTAAATTGTAGCTGGGTTTGAATTTGGACTCTGCTATTGGTTGTGTCTAAGCCTGCCACCTATGGCTGACAATTGAGCTATCTCTTGGGGTTGTTGTATGAGATAAATAAGGTCGTCATTGTGACGAAAGTAATAACTTACACTTAAAAGAAATTAACAGGCCAGGAGTTGGTGGCGCACGCCTTTAATCCCAGCACTCGGGAGGCAGAGGCAGGCGGATCTCTGTGAGTTTGAGGCCAACCTGGTCTACAGAGTGAATTCCAGGACAGCCTCCAAAGCCACAGAGAAACCTTGTCTCGAAAAACCAAAAAAAAAAAAAAAATTAACAAGGAAGCCTGGCAGTGGTGGCACACGCCTTTAATCCCAGCACCCAGAAGCAAGATAATCTGTGTGTGTTCAAGTCCATCCCGAGTATACAGAGTGAGTTCCAGGACAACCAGGGCTACACAGAGAAACCCTGTCCTGAAAATTAAAACAAACAAACAAGAACCCCCCCCCAATTGACTAGGTCTAGGCACTGAGCTCAGAGCTTTACATGCCCATTGCCCCCATTTACTTAGGCTGTTTATGTTGCAGGAGACACCAAGAGATCCCATCTAGACTCCACCGGGCTTTCCTTAGGGTGAGCACCTGGCATTGTAACCACATTTACCAAAATAAATTGATATTGGTATTACGGTATACCTAAATTACATTTTTGCATTCCATCTGCTTTCCTACTAACATTCTCTTGTTTTGTCCCATGGCTCAATCTGGGTGCATCTTGTCGTCACATCTCCCTGGTGGTGAACCCAGGGCCATCCCCACCTGAGCACAACAGGCACCCCCCCACCCTGGCTTCATATGCATTCTTTTATTTCCATTTACTGCTGAGGAAACTGATACTTAAGTCACAGAGTTAGAATTCAACCCCAGACCTATTTGACTCAAAGCCCAGGACTTAATCATTTGTAAGGAAATGATGGGTAAGAAATGCAATGTTTGAAGGGAGAGCAGCACACAGAGAGTAAGAGGCTCCCGGGGAAGACACTGACACACGGAGACCTGGCTTCGAAGCTTTCGGATACCAACTCAGCATGATCTTCTCCCTCCTCAGCCAAGTCCAGGTAATCTGTTCTGAGAGCAGGGCACACCCGGGGAAGCAACTAGTTAAGCTCCGGCTTAGACATTGACAGCAAGGCTTCCCAGAGAGTCAGGCCATAGTGACGACCCTTGGCAGCAAGGCCAGATACAGCATCCTGAGCTAGGTTGGGGGTCAGTCGCACGGGGCATAAAGACAGAACCAGAATCCATGTAACAGGGGCTTCCGGCAGCCCCTTCTGCCCTAAGCAGAAGCCTTTGCAACCAAACCTTATTCGGTGTCCCTGTCATTTTACTGTCCAAGCTTCAGAGAGCGGGATCAGGCAGAGCGGTACACACCTATAATCACAGCTCTTGAGAGGCCGAGGCTAGTATATTGTCTCAAATCAAGGCCAGCTGGGGCTACACAGCAAGACCTTAACAACAACAAAAACAATCAGGTTCTTTAGCTACCTTTCCCGGAGAAGTGTAGCTACCACCCCTCATCATCGAACCCTCTCTTTACAACAAATGGAGACCACAGAAAACCATAACTGAATACGATGGACCTGGGGGAGCCCAGCCCCAGTAGACATACCTACATCGCAGCTCTTGCATCTATGGTTGAAGAAGAGGGGGGCAGACATTGTAAGATCCACAACACGGGAAGTCAGGTACGGCACAGTCTCTACTAGGAATGGTTTCATAAAGAAACTGAACAAATGGCAGCATCACCGGACACGCTAATGTGGAAGGGGAAACTTGTGGAGTCTAACCCTAGACAAAGAACGACAGGCAGCTAATGCCTACATGAAGGAGAATTAGTCTCTCCCAGGGATGAGAGCCTGGACTGGCTGGCTAACGCTGAGTGGCTGCTAGCCCCTGCTCACATACATACAAGTGATAAAAGTGGATTCAGTAGGTTGCATTTGTGTGTGTGTGTGTGTGTGTGTGTGTGTGTGTGAGAGAGAGAGAGAGAGAGAGAGAGAGAGAGAGAGAGAGAGAGAGAGAGAGAGAGAGAGAGAGAGAGAGAATAAGAATCAAGGAAAAAGAAGCTATCAACTTGAGAGTAGAGAAAGGAGACATGGAAGGAATGTCTGTGGGAGGTGCGAGAGGGGGGAATGTGATGCAATTTTATTTCAATTAAAATGCATTTAAAGCCAGATGGTGGAGGTGAACACCTTTAATCCCAGCACTCAGGAGGCAGAGGCAGGCGAATGTGTTCAAGGCCAGCCTGGTCTACAAGAGCTAGTTCCGGGACAGCTAGGACTACACAGAGAAACCCCGTCTCAAAAACCAAAACAAACAAACAAATAAAATAAATTTAAAATTATAATTAACTAAAAGCAAAGCAAAACAAAAGCAGCAAGCAGGGCTAGAGGAATAGGCTAGCTCCACTGGCAAAGCCCTTGCCTGCAAGCATCAAGGTCTGAGTTCCAAGCCCAGAACCCATGCTTTGAGAAAACAAAACAACAAAATAAAAGCAGGAGGGCCAGAGCCCAGTGAGATGGTTTTGTGGATAGGGACACTCACTATCAAACCTGATGACCTGGGGGTTTATCTCAGGGACTCTGCAGGGTGGAACAAGAGAACGGACTCCCACAGTTGTCCTCTGTCATGGCCCACATGGGCTCCATCCCCATAAAATTAAAAACCTGAACTAATTCTGAGTATGGTGGCATGTGTTTGTAATCCCAGTGCTGGGGAGGCAGAGACCGACAGGTGGGGAGGTGACCTGGCCAGCCAGCCTACCTAAGTCCAGCCTACCTAAGTCCAGCCTACCTAAGTCCAGCCTACCTAAGTCCAGCATACCTAAGTCTAGCCTGCCTAAGTCCAGCCTACCTAAGTCTAGCCTACCTAAGTCCAGCCTACCTAAGTCTAGCCTGGTGAGAGACCCTGCCTGAGAAACAAGGTGGGACCAGTGAGAAGGCTCAGCAGGTAAAACAAAAACAACAAACAAACAAAAAACAAGTGCCTGCTGTGGAGCATAATGAACTAAGTTCAATGCCCAATCAGACAGACAGACAGACAGACAGACAGACAGACACACACACACACATACACACACACACACACACGAGAGAGAGAGAGAGAGAGAGAGAGAGAGAGAGAGAGAGAGAGAGAGAGAGAGAGAGTCCCTCAGCAGAGGATGCTAACTCCAGAATAGCCACAGCGTCTCTGCCTTCAGACCCCTGTCGTGAGCTGACCTTCTGCGGGAAAGCTTTCCTTCCCTTGCACAGTGCCTTCCAGGTCTATGGTTTGTAATAGACTGCTTACAGAGCAAAGCCTAGCCTGGTGCCACCTGGGGCTAGGAAAAAAACCTCATCTCAAATCATCCTCCCCATCAGCACGTGAGCTTGGTTCTCAGACAGGGACCATCTGCAGCATCAGGGTCTACTGGACCCTTCCTCATCCCAGACTCCCAGAAACAAACAGTGTAATTTAACAGACCAATGTCACCAAGACCTCCAGGTCATTCTGATGGCACCTCTAGCTTGCTAACCACTGCTGTGTGTGGAAACCGCTTTTCTTTGGAGAAACTGAGGTTCAGAGAAATTAACTGACTTCTCCAAGATGCTAAGATTCTATGTCACCATTGCAACTGGTTAGGTATTCATTCTTCTTACTGGACAATGAGTCCTCAGCAGAGTTCAAGACTGATTCATTTTTATTTTACTTCCAGTTCTTTAAGTTAATTCCTCTAAAACATTGTGTGTATCTGTGTCTTCATGTAGGGATGGGCTTAAGTGTGTGTGTGCTCACACATGTATGCACAGCTGTGATGTTAACCTCAGGCATCACTCCTCGAGAGGCACCCACCTTCTTTTTTTATCACATTTATTTGTGTGTGTGTGTGTGTGTGTGTGTGTGTGTGTGTGTCCTGTAGATTGAACTCAGGTCATTATGCTCGGCAGCAAGAACGTTCACCCACTGAGCCATCTTGCTGGTCCTCATCCACCTTATTCTCTGAGGCAATGCCTCTCACTGGTCCAGAGCCCACTAAGTAGGTCATACTGGCTGACAGTGATCTCTGCCACTCCAGCTCTGAACTTACAAGTATGTGTCACCATGCCTAGATTCTGAGGTCTGAACTTAGGTCCTTGCATGTGCTACCTCCCTGGGCCTCCTTTCTATCTTTTAGGTCAAGCCACATGTAAAAGCCTCTGTGACCTCTGATGACTGGGTGAAAAAAAATCACAACATTAATTAAGACTTGGCCCAAGGGATTTATGAGTTCAGATGAGAAAAAAGTCCCAAGTGAGTATTGGGGCTAGGAGCCAGGAAATAGTTAACAATTTGAAAAATTAAAAGAAAATATCATCTACTAGTTGTGAGACTTTCCAATAATGAGAAGTCAACACAATTAGACAAGGCACTAAATTTTTGTGCAGACTGCCAGCTGTCATTCTTCTTGACTAGCTCAGATCAAAGGAATGTGTTTTATCTCCTAAGTTATTAGACATGACAGGGCCATTAAGTGGAGATATTGTCATAAGAAATATGTTGCTTGCTTTGAAAATAAACATCTCACCTTTGCCTCTTCTTCTCTGTGAAAAGCTGAAAGAAATCAAACTATTTAACTTGGGACTTTCCAACATGCTGATCCCCTAACAGCTTCTCCAGGATTTCAGCCTCTCCCTTTCCTCCAGTCCCAAGATTATGAAGTAAATTGGAACTCTGGGACCAGGGCTGTGAAAGTTGTAAGCCATGGTCCAAGGGTGCCTTCCCTAGTCACAACCAAGTGTGATGCCGCTTCCAAGCTTGTTTTGTAGAGAGACAGATGTGCCTCTTTGGGGAGCACTGTCAAGCAGGTATAGCATGATTGTACACACACACACACACACACACACACACACACACACACACACACACACACACGAGTATACAAACAAGCACGCACGAATGCCTGCACGCATGCACCTTCATGGAAGTCAGAGAACAACTTGTGGCAGGGTCCTCTCCTTTTACTATGGTGGGTTCAGGGCCTTGGGTTTGCATCTCAAGCATTTTACACATTGAGTCATCTTTCTGGCCCCATAAGGAGGGTATTCTGGTCCCATTTTTACAAAGGTAGGCTCAGTTCAGAGAAAGCACTCCAGGCAGCCTTAGAACTCTCCTTCTTCTAGTCCCTTCCTCATCCCATCTGCTTCTGTCTCGGCCACATTATCTAGGACACTCCAAGCTCATGCTTGTTTCTGAAACTTCATGCCTGCTCTTCTTGCTGCCTGGACTGTTCTCGCCTCAGGCCCCTCATCATCCCCCTTCTACTGGTTAAATGCAGCCTCCTCAGAAAGTCCTCCCCTGAACACGTGGCCGAAGGCACACCTTCCCTGCATATCTTGTCTAGGTGTTTACTCTGAGTTATCTGTATCATGGGCTGAAATGATTCAGTCTTATTCCGACTGACATTTATTTACTTACCAATTTCCTGACCGAGTCTGAAGAGGCAGAGATGTCTCATTCTTAGGACTGGTACTAACCCCTGGGGAATTAAGATTTACAATTGGAATAAAATTTACCTAACCCAAGATGAACCATTTTAATGTATACCATTTAGTAAACTTACCACGTTGACTATGTTGTATAACCATCACTTCTTTTTTTTTTAAAGATTTATTTATTTATTACATATACAGCATTCTGTCTACAGGCCAGAAGACGGCACCAGATTGAATTGTAGATGACTGTAAGCCACCATGTGGTTGCTGGGAATTGAACTCAGGACCCCTGGAAGAGCAGTCAGTGCTCTTAACCTCTGAGCCATCTCTCCAGCCCAACCATCACTTCTTAGTTCAAAAGCATTTCTACCTCTACAAGTGAGGCCTTGTATCCATGAAGAAATTATCTCCCCTATTCTTGCCCCCCTTCTCTCCTGCCCTAACACCTGGTAATCTCTCTCTCTCTCTCTCTCTCTCTCTCTCTCTCTCTCTCTCTCTCTCTCTCTCTCTCTCTCTCTCTCTCTCTGGATTTCCCCCACTCTGGACAATTCATGAAAATGGAATCATATAATCAATACATGACCATTTATTTCTGGCTTATTTCATTAAGCATAATATATATGAGGTTCTTATAGCACATAGGTATGTTTAATTCATTTTTGTAGCAGGATATATGTCTTTTAGGTGATGGGCATGTTTTCCATCTTTTGGATACCATGGATAATGCTGATAAAAACATTTGTGTGTAAGTGATTGTTTGAATTCCTGTTTTCAATTATTTGGGGGGTACATATATTTGCAAAAAAAATACTAGGTAATATAGTAATTCTATGCTTACACACAGGGTTTCTCTGTGGCTTTGGAGACTGTCCTGGAATTAGCTCTGGTAGACCAGGCTGGTCTCGAACTCACAGAGATCCTCCTGTCTCTGCCTCCCGAGTGCTGGAATTAAAGGTGTGCAGCCACCACCGCTGGGCCACACAGGAGCTTTTAAATAAATATTTGTATAATGAATGAGCAAGTGAACAGGAGAAAGCAGGAATAACATATGCAAGTAGAGACTGGGAATGTCACTCAGTGGCAGAGTACATGCTTAGCATGAACAAGGCCCTGGGTGTGATCCCCAGCAGTAAACAGAGAAATGCAAATGTTAAATGGAGTTCTTTATAACTCCCAGGTCCTTGCTATCTTATCACATCAACTTCCTGGGAAAGGACAGGAATTTGGCTCTCTTGATATCCTTAGATGTCATCTATTTCAGGGCAATGCCATGCCCTGAATGGAACACAAGTGTTCAATGAAATTGAAACATATCACTAAGCTACAATCACTATCTTTCTGCATTTATTTATATTTTGAGATGGTGTCTCATGTATCCCAGGCTGGCCTTGAATTCTTGGTATAGCCAAGGATGACCCTTAACTTCTGATCCTCTGTCGACCTCCTGGGTGCTAGAATTACAGGTATATATTCACTGCTTCTGGTTTATACAGTGACGGAGATTGAACCTACTAGGGCGTTGTGAATGCCAGACTTTGGGACTCTATCAACTGAGCACATCCCTGGTACTCCTTTGTAAATTTATTTTATCCCATCATAGATTGTTAATGTCAGGCAGATTCTCTGAGAGGAAATGATTGCATCAAAGACCATGAACGGCTGGGCGTTGGTGGCACACGCCTTTAATCCCAGCACTGGGGAGGCAGAGGCAGGTGGATCTCTGTGAGTTCGAGGCCAGCCTGGTCTACAGAGCAAGTTCCAGGGCAGCCTCCAAAGCCACAGAGAAACCTTGTCTCAAAAAACCAAAAAAAAAAAAAAAAAAAAAAAGACCATGAACGTGTGAAAGGCAGTGCAACAGCCACACGGTATTGCTGTCTTAAAAGACTACAGAATCCTCAGCAGCAGTCTTGAGGATGTCTGGGCTTGGTTTATCTTATTCTAAGTCATAGCCATTGCCTCCTATTTGTGGAGTGTTTCTTGTATTGTCTCAAGCTAGGTAGTTAGATGTGCTTTGTCTTTCAATGTTGGGTATAGTCCTAGTTACCTTTAACTGTCAACTTGACACAACCCGGAGCCACCTGAGAGGGAAACTATGATCGCAGAACTGTCTAAATCAAATTGGTCTGTGGGTATGTCTGTGGGGGGCTGTAATGATTAATTGATGGGCAGGGCCATCTTCAGGCAGATGGTCCTGATGGAATCAGAAGGGAAACAAACTGCAAGCCTGCCAGTGAGCCAGGAAGCACTGCTCCTTCATTTTGTTCCCCCACACTTTGTGTTTCAAGTTCCTGCACTGACTTTTTTCAGTGAACTACGACCTGAAAGTGTAAGTCAATTAAACCATTTCCTCCCCCAAGTTGCTTTTTCCCAGAGTGTTATGATAACAACACAAAGACTAAAACAGGTTTCAAATCCAAGGCCTTGAACACGATAAACATGCATTCTGGCTACACCCATGGCCCTAGGACAGTTATTTTTCTTGCTTGTTTTCCCAGTCTGTGAACCCGTCTCCCATTTGCAGGTTTCAGTCTAGCATTCCTGTACCCCTGAACTTATAGGCAATGTAACCTCCTGTAAATGAGGCAAAATTAGTTCTTACAAAGTAAATGCCAAATGGGAAAATGAGTTCCTATGTCTGTGTGGCCGCAGGCCTGCCTTCTTAGGGATACATGTCAGAATGTGACATGCTTGGCAGCAAATGAAGGCTGGGTGGCTTATTACTGCCATTAGTGATCATTTGTATAGGAATGGAGGTATGCATAGCACCCCATAATGCCTAGAGGGATCTGGAGCAGAGGGCAGTCTTTCAGCCCTAATGCATCATCTTACCTGGGCTGGTGAACAGAAATGGCTGCCCACTGGAACCAGATGGACTCTTACAAAAACTGACATGGTCTCATGGGGTAGATTTGGGAGAAGGAAGCAAAGAGTGAATTCCCAGGTGCCTATATGTGTCTAGCATTACCCAGATTGACACTCACTCAATCGGCCAAGTAGCACTGAGGGACTTTTATTGTCTTTTATCTTCTCCGACTGTAGGGATCACAGTCTGCACTGGATGTGTTCTCCCGCATGCTGACTTGCTCCAGCTGTGTGTGGGAGGGATCAGGCAGCTGTGAACAAGGTGTAGGAGACTCGTGAACAGTGGGGCTAGGAAGGAGGAGCCAGCGGGCTTGTTCCTCCTGCTCTGGACACCTGCCCGACTGGAGAGTGGGGACTGGGCAAACGGAGAGGACTGGGGTTCAAGATCTCTGGCCCACATGGATGGACGGGTCTCTCTTCTCTTCTGAGTCCACTGTTCCTCTATAGCTCCCCACTCCCTGTGGTCCATGGGAAGACTGACTAAAACCCTGCTTGCATCCTGTCTTGTGCCACGTCTGGCCCACTGAGGTGTTGACAGTCATTGAGTCACTACCAGGAGAGGTGAGGAGGGGAAAAAGTTGGGTGCTGTCATCCACAGTCAGGCAAAATCTTAATGCCTCAGGGTTGGAGGGATGGCTCAGTGTTAAAGTGTTTGTACAAGTGTGAGGGCTCTCATGTGAATGTCAGATGGGTGTGTTGGACCATCTGTGATTTCAGTACTTGGGAGGTGGAGGCCAGGGATCCCTGGGCAAACTGACTAGACAGAAAAGCTGTGCTGAAGAGCTATGGGTTCAGCTCAAGTAAGAAACCCTACCTCAAAAAATAAAAAAAGTTGGCGAGAAATGTAGGAAGCCTTTCAACATTAGTTCCAGGTCTCCACATACAAGCATGCACATGTAGTACACATGGGAGCACACTTACCACACACATGTACATATGAGAAAAAAGGCTTGGTACCTCAGTCTCTGCCTATAAAGGGAGATGATGAGGTGCTTTCCTCATGAGGTGAGAGGACTGGATGAGTTAGTACAAGAACAGGTTTTGGTCATTGTAACGAGTATTCTTCCTGCCAGCCTGGACCCTGAGCTGCGTCAGTCCCAAACCAACACGCATGATGCTATATTAATTATAAAGCTGTTGGCCATTTGCTTGGTTTCTTATTGGCTAGCTCTGCCTTAATTATTAACCCATAACTGCTAATCTGAGTATTTCCACGTGGTCTTCTCTTACCGGAGAAAGGGCCCAGACCTCTTACTTCTCTTGTGTCCTACATGGTGACTGACTGTGCCTCTGTTTCCCAGAATCCTCCACCTCTCTTAGTCCCACCTATCTTGCTTCCCTATTGGCCAACAGTGCCTTATTTAACAACTAAGGAGACACACATTCACACAGAAGGACTCCCCACCAGGTCATGTCTCAGAATACTGACCACCTCCTTGCACATCTCTGCTACTCAGTGTTTTGTCTCTTTGCCTTTAGGCTGGCTCTGGAAGCCACAGTGAGTATACAGACCTGCTATGGGAGTAGGGAAAGTGAATTTTGATTGCCCAGCAAGAAGGGAACGGCTACTTTGGCCCTTGGACCCCATGTATTTTCTGTACTGCCTGAGCTTTGACACAGGGGTTTTGGACTGATGACCAGTGCCAGCCACTGTTGAGACAAAAGCTGCCAGAGTTGGGGCTTGAGCTTGAGTTATGGAGAGGGCTAATATAACAGAAGAAAATCCTGGATTTTGTTCTCCTTGTGTGGTGATATATTATTTATGATTTAGTACAACTTGCCTGAGGGTTGAGAATGCAAAGCCAGCCACAAGTCAGAGAGGCCAGGCAGTGATGTCACCCAGGACTCAGGAGACAGAGGCAGGCAGATCTCTGTGAGTCCAAGACCACCCTGGGCTAACTACACAAGAGTGAATTAGTTCAAAAGAGTAACAGAGCTTACGCCTTTAATCCCAGCACTAGGGAAGTGGAGACAGAGTTATATGGCTGGGCGGAGAATGGAATATAAGGCGGGAGGAGACAGGAACTGGGGCATTTGCCTCTGAGAATCCGTGGAGAGCATTGTCTTTGAGGATTCATGGAGACAGGATTGTCATTTCAATTCGGTAGAGGTAAGAGCTACTGGCTTGGCTGCTTTGCTTTTCTGATCTTCATTTTGAAGCCCAATATCTGTCTCTGGATTTTTATTATTTGTTACATCCTTGTAGGCAGGATGCTTACAACTCTTTGTCAGGTTTATTGTTAACACACGCACTGAGCACAAGCCTTTGCTAAACTCAGATAAGATCTCCATCCTCATCTCTGTTTCTTTTTTCATATATAGACATGATGTATGTGTGCGTGTGTGTGTGTGTGTGGATTTGAATATCTATGCACCAGGGACCATAGTTGGCCTTTTTCAAAAACAAAAAACAAAAGCAAATGCTATGTACTTCTGAGCATCCATGACAATTGGCCCTGAGCAGTAAAGGAACACAAAGACTTCCTTTGGTGTCTCGATGAAATCTGAGCCAACACATACACCCATGACACTCTTTAGCTACATGACTTTATCACCTTAAACCTTACTAAGAAATAAATACCCAAACCCCAAATAACCCACCGACACATGCCTGTGTTTCATCTGTTTTTAAACTCTGTGTGTTCATCTTTGCACACGTGAGTACAAACATGTACTACATGCCTTGGCATGCGTATGGAGACAGATCAGGAGTGCTGCTCCTCACCTTCCGACTCACCAGAGACTGGGATGTTTCCTGTTTTGCCACTGCGTACACTAGGTGAGATGGCAAGAGCTTAGGGGGTTCTCCAGTTTCTGCTTCCTGTTCTCCCATAGGAGCACCAGGGTATAGACAGCCCTACTGGAAATCTGAGCTCAGGTCCTTACACTTGAACAGCAAACACTTCTGCCTACGAAGTAGTATCCCTGACCCCTTTCCTGTCTCTTTGGGGGAATCTATTTCCAAAGGCGGCTCAAGGGTCTCATGTCATGTTAGTGATTTTTTTTTCCAGACACGATCCCTCTATTCTATCACTCTGACTGTCCTGGAACTTGCCATGCAGACCAGGCTGGTCTTGAACTCACAGAGACCCACCTACCTCTCCTGAGTGTCTCCCTCTGTTGCTCTCTGCCTTATTCCTTTAAAGACAGGGTCTTTCACTGAACCCAAGCTATCCGCTTCATCCAGGCTGGCCGGCCGCTAAGCTCTCGAGGATTTGTCAGTCTCTGCCTCCTAACACTGTGGTAACCTGCACATGTAGCCATGCCTAGATTTTTATATAGGTATTACGGGTATGAACTCAGATCCTCAGGCCCTCATGTAGCATAGCAAGGGTTTACTCACTAAGCAGCCTCCTCAGTCCCTATTGTCTTCATCCATAGAACCTTCCCTGGAATTCTATGAGAGGAGGTGTGTCTTCTTCACTCTCAGATGGTCAGCCACCCAAAAACCCTCGGGAGAGATGGGCAGAAGTGATTCATTCTGAGGACAATGGTGGAAAAGAAAAAGACATTCAATTTAATTTAGATATGATTTTAAAACCTTGCCTTTCTTCCTGGGCAGCTGAGATAAGCAGCAGAGGATTGGTTTCAGGGCCAACTGAAGCAGAAAGACACGGGACTGAAGAGATGGCTCAGCAGCTAAGAGCACTTGCTACTCTTCCAGAGGACCTGGGTTCAGTTCCCAGCACCTGAGCTCACAATTGCCTATACCTACAGCTCTGGGGAACCTGACATCTTCTCATAGATTCTATGGGCACCTACCTACACATTAACATACCCCTACATGGACACGTATAAATACATATGACTAAAGACAAGATAAATCTTCTTAAAAGACATTCATTTTTCTCAACTATTTCTTATCGTGGGGGTGTTGAATTCCTGTGGCTTTGCTGGGCCCAGGAAAGAGGTCCTCAGGGATTGTCAACTGGACTTAGCCATGCCTACCCTGTACCTTCTGTCTGGGAGTTTTACCCTGTCTCCTGTGTCTGATCCTAACTCTTTGCCTCCACATTTGAAAAATACTTTTCTGTGTCCTTTTTTTTTAAGTTTTATTTTCCATCTATGTGTATGTGTTTCTGTGTGTGAGAGTAAGCATGTTTGTAGAGTCAGAGGAGAACCTTGAGTGTCTGTACTCCTCTTCTGCCTTGCTTCAGACAGGCTTTCTAGTTTGCCACTGCCTGCTGGCTTGAGAGCTCCCAGAATTCTCCTGTCTCACCTACCTGTCTTGCTGCAGGAGCACTGGGATTATGACTGAGTACCACCATAGCTGGCTTTCCGGTGAATCCTGGGTGTTGAACACACGTCCTCATGCTTGCACCCCAAGCACTTTGCCCATGAAGCTATCTCCTCAGCCCCTGAGTACCTACCTTTGTTTTCTGGAGAGCACAGCCTCTCTGGAGGGAGGGTCCTGTCTCCACTCAGCCTGGAGCTTTGTATTTGCCAGCCAGCTGTCCTGTGTTGGGCTGTCCCCCAGGCCTCAGGAGGGCTTAACTTCCTTCCTGAGAGGCTCTGCTAGCTAGGCCAGGTGGGATCCTGTGGCAGCCCCACCAAACTCCCAAGCTGACTGCAGACATTTGTGCTGTCAACAGAACTGCAGAAAATGCAATTCGAGTTGCTAATGAGCAGCTTGTTTGGGTAAACAAACCAGGTGAGGTGAAAAAAGTGATGCTCCCCAGCAGGAAATGCAGGCGAACATTAACCAGATGGAGAGCCACGCGTCTGCACGCCTCCCATTCTTCAGGCTTCAGGTTGTGAGAAGGGACATTCCTGCAGTGTGTGTGAACTGGGAACTGTGCACACCTCCTGTCTGACCTGGCACTTCTTTTGAAGGAATAAGAACCACCTTGTGCCCAGGGTCACCCTGATTTTCTGTGACTCATTCCTTGCCCAGCCTTCCCTTCATTTATCATTAATCTTCACAGAACTGTGGAAACAAGGTGTGTGTGGCAGCAGGGGAAATTGAGGAGGCTTGAGGATGAGGAAGAGGCTTGCTCAAAATCAGCGTGCTGGATTTGAATTCACACCAGCCTAATTATTATTATTTTTTTCTTCAAGACAGGGTTTCTCTGTATTGCTTTGGAGGTTGTCCTGGAATTGGCTCTGCAGACCTTGAACTCAAAGATCCGCCTGCCTCTGCCTCCCAAGTGCTGGGATTAAAGGCGTGCGCCACCAACCCCTGGAAGCAGCCAGTGCTCTTATCCTCCCAGTCATCTCTCCAGACCTTCAGCCTAATTCTTTAAGAGTGCGCCGATATTTCACAGTCTTTGGCCCCTGTATCTGCCTTCTAGCCAGTGGCTGCTTCTTCTTCTTTTTTTTTTTTTTTTTTTTTTTTTTTTTTTGGTTTTTCGAGACAGGGTTTCTTTGTGGCTTTGGAGGCTGTCCTGGAACTCACTTGGTAGTCCAGGCTGGTCTCGAACTCACAGAGATCCGCATGCCTCTGCCTCCCGTGTGCTGGGATTAAAGGCGTGCGCCACCAACGCCCGGCTGGCTGCTGCTTCTTTCAGACTATGATTTTGAGGAATGTTTGGACTTCTCCCACAGAAGGATTCCTTGCCTAATTGGTCAGGATGATGTAGCTTTCTAGAAACGTGCATGACAACTCTATGTCGTGTGTGTGTGTGTGTGTGTGTGTGTGTGTGTGTGTGTGTGTCTGTGAATGCATGCTTATCTTTGGGAAACCAGTAACTTAGAGGTGTTTGCAGCCATCACATAAGAAGCTGACTATAGGAAGGGTCTAGGCCCTGCCCTATATGAAATGACAGACTATGGACACCCCCATGGAGGGCCTCACCCTCCCTGGGGGAAATGAGGGGATAACGGGGGGGGGATGGGGGGAGGGCACGGGAGGAGGGGAGGGAAAGGGAGAGGGACCTCGTACTGACTTGTGAAGCAACCTTGTTTCTTATCTAAATTTAACATGGAAAATAAAAAAAATATTAATAAAAAAAAGAAGCTGACTATACAATATACACAGTTAACTGTTATAAATCAGGATAATAACACACACATACAAACAGTGATGAGGTGACATTGTACAAACATGACTGACTTGGTAACTGCGATGGCTAAGTTTGTTACCCGCAGACAGAGTCAGGAAAAGGGAGGCTCCAGCTGTAAGCTCAAGTCCAGAAGGCTCTCTGTCTACATTGTTCAAGGAAAAAAAGGAAAATATATCACATTCATATGCTATATGCCACAGATTATTTCCTCCTTAGCATTCAAGGGTGAAGAGTTCATTACATTGTCATCAGCCACAGAAACAGAAGTTGGGTTTGAGCTACCGAGAGCACTCATGCTTGCCCGTCTCTGTCCAGAAGCAGCACAAAATTACTCCGGCTCCTATTAGAGCAGCACTGGGTGGAGATGCTTGCTGTGAATGTAGCCACCATTTGTCGTTGAGCCTTTTATACGGGATTCTGTCTTCTTTACTGCAAGAAAACTCAGGCTTGGAGATGCATCACAGAACCTAAGTGTGCTACATGCTGGGGTTTGAACTACAATCTTTCTGGTCCTGAGTTCTGAGTATTCAACCACCAGATTATTCTACTTTTGCTACTTTTTAGCAATATCACTTTTTTTTTTTTAAGATGGAGTTTTGATAGGAAGCCTGGGATAACCTTCAACTCCATGATCCTCCTGTCTCAGCCTCCCAAGTGCTGGGAGTACAGGTGTGTACCACCTTGCCTTGGCTATTCCCCTGCTTTCCAGGGGCCACATCTGCCCTGTGAGGCCTCAGGGATGATCTCATTGTCTGTAGAGAAACCCTAGAGGGGAAATGCTTCTTGTTAGCAGCTGAAGAGCTCGATGCTTAGGAAACAGGAAGAAACTTGCCCCAAATCCCCCAGCTCCAATGAGGTGTGGGTGAAGGAAGAGAGCCTGTTTCCCACTCTGCTACATTGCTGCGCAGCTAGTGACAGAGCCCAGGGGCAGAGGGGCATCCACAGGCAGTGCCCGTGCCGATTTCAGATCTTTACTGAGCAACTTGGCTCCTTTCAAGTAGGTAGAAGCCTTTCCTTTGAATGAACCAATTAGGTTCAAAAAGTAAAAAAAATAATTTATGCATTTTAGCTAATGAGGATGTTGTTCAGGATATTTTTAGCTGAACACGGAGGGAGGGAAAGGAGGGAGAAAGAGAGAGAATGAGAGGGGGAGAGGGAGAGAGAGAACACGGAACATTTGAATTTGAAAGCTGGGTATAAATTACTTCAGAAGAGGCAGCTTGGGAATCAGACAGTCCTTAGCACAGAGCCCAGTTCTTAGCACTTTGGCTGCATGTGAGAAGTAGGGGGCAAATTACACCCCTCCCTGAAAGTGTGTGCCAATGTGTATATGGTACCAACCTCTCAAGGGTATTGTAAAAACAGAAACTAGTTCTTCTGTAGGCATCCAGAGGTGATTTGTAAAAACAGATTTCTAGACCTAGAAACTCTGAAAAATCATGCAGTGCAAACCAACAGGTCCAGTTCTTTACTCCCACTTTAAGGGTACTGAGAAGCCTCCTGGAGTATGCATATCTAAAAACGCACCAGGTTTCTGAATGATGTCACTTTTAAGAAGCAACCTGTAGGGAGTCAGAACCTGGCAGATCTGTGTGAGTTTGAGGCCAATCTACTCTAGTTCCAGGACAGCCAGGGCTGTTACACCGAGAAACTCTGTCTCGAAAACGAGAGAGAGAGAGAGAGAGAGAGAGAGAGAGAGAGAGAGAGAGAGAGAGAAGGAGGGAGGGAGGGAGAGAGAGAGGGTAATTTAATTTAGAGAAGTTTGCTAGAAACAAAACAAGCAAAGCTAAGAAGGCTGGGCACTCATAAGCAAGAATAAATCTCTGCGTATTTATTTGGAAGCTGGATAGCAGTTTTTTGTACCCTTTAAGAGTACAAAAAACAAAACAAAACACAAAAAACAGCTACAGCAGTGCATCCTTGTAATTCCAGCACTGGGAAGATGGAGACAGGGGGAATCCCTTGGGCTTGCTGACCAGCAAGTCTAGCTAAGTTGGTGAGCTCCATGTTCATGAGAAACTGTTACAAAATGTAATGTGGAGTACAATTGAGGAGAGACACCTGACATCCACTTCTGGTCTCCACATACACACATAAAAGCACATGCATGCACATACAAGCACACACTCGAACTCCACACGAAGAAGTAACGTTGTCAATTTGATGCTGTAATAATAGAGACAATAGAAATATCTGGGTCCACTAGTGTATTGATGACTCAAAAACACCACTGAATTTTTGCTGCATATTCAATGCCAAGTGTGGTGTTGACTTTAAAAGTCTAGATGTGGATCCTCTGGTCATTGAACTGTCCAGCAGAGCAGAAAACCCAAGATGTACCATTTACGAAATGGAAGATGGCTAACTACAAGATGGGACAGTCTTGCCTAAATCATTGGGTTCATCCGACAGAAATGGAAACAGCCTTAAGTAAGGGGGTTCTGGATTACCCAAGTATATAAATAGCCAAAGTAGGTTG